TTATTTTGCTTTAAAATGCAGTTTACAGACATTATAATTTTGTTATGTTTTAATTATGTTTTATTGCATTATGTTTTTTGACACCATTTAACTTGGGAGGACATTGCACGTAAGCAGGAATGGCACAAAAAAAAATTGCCAATTTTCACCAAGGGGGACTCTGAAAGATATTTTTCCCCAATGATCAATTTTAATGCCACAATTTAAAAATTAAATTACTAACTAAAAGTAACAGATTGCATACTACATGATTACTGAATCACATGTATGCCTGTGACTATAAAATACTGTCTTGAATGATAGAAAGCAGTGCGTATACCACAAGACATTAATAATAAAGTTGATGTGATATAGAATTCTTTCGGGGCGGGTGGCGTCACACAGACATCAGATGTCAACTGTATTTCAAAATCATGTGTGTCATACAGGAATCACCAGTTAAAAATTATTTATACAACTTTGAAATTTTATGTCTTACAAATCACTATTCTATCTGTGTTTGTTTCATATTGTTCAAAAGTAATTTTTCAGTTATATCCTCATTTGTAAAACTGCTGGTAACTTTCTTGTTTGACATATTTCAGTTCAAGAGGTTTTCTTAGAATTTTCAGTGCTTTTCTAGATTTGATTGCTAAAAACATGTCATCACTTTTTTGTCAGTTTCTGCAGTTCCTTTAACAGTTTCATGGTAAGTTTTGTACAGGTTGTCAATAGTTTTTTCAAACTGACACAAAAAAAAATTAATCTCCATAACTTTCCTCACTGATGTCTCAAACATTAGCAGTAAGTTGCAATTCCTTTGAGGCTTCTTCTTCACAAAAGTCACACTTTCAGAAACAGCTTTAAAAGATTACTCTTCCTCACTGATTGCAATATGCATGGCCTCTAGTACAGATATCAAATTCTTATTTGTTTCAAAGTGCTTCCAATTTCACAAAATTCAATTCTGTTCTTTATTTTCTGAACAACTTTTCTGTAGTAACTTTTGAAAGCTAAATATTGGAGCTATTTGCTGGAAGCAACAATAATTTTTTTGTTTTTTTTTTCCCCCCAGAAAGAGCTTAGAGATGTGTACACTGCCCAGTTTTCAGAAAGAGCTCAGAGGTGTGTGCACTGCCCAGTTATCTAATAACAGTAACCTATTTTTAACTTATCAGTAACCTTTTTTTTTTTTTTTTTTTTTTTTTTTTTTTCATTCTGTCATTCATTGCCCCATTTCAAAAGAAAAGCAATGAAAATACTTTACATCCTCCTGTGGTGATCTTGTGATGCCTTCCACATGTGGTTGCTTGCTTGTGTTGCCATCTATTAGCAACAGTGAGAAGTGCTGCATTGCACAAGTGGGACACGATCCTGGGTCTCTTTGCTACAAGTCAAATTCTTTACCACTACCCCAAAATAACTCCTACATGCTAGGTTCAAGAATTTCTTGAACCTAGCACGTTCCAACTCTTTCAAATGGTGAGCACTGAGTTGTTCTTAAGATTGCCACAATATGCTATCCAGAAAGTGGAATGGGAAAGTGGTTAGTGATTCTGACTGCCGTACCGAAGAGTCCGAGTTCAAATCCCGCAGAAGGCATATATATAAATTGATTGTCCCTTCACTGGAGGGAACAGTGGCCCACCTAATTAGGCACTTCCATAATAAAGTGGCCACTGCTTCTGACCATACTTGTGACCAACACTTAGAATGGGTAGTGGGGAAAACATTTGGGAGGGGGGAAAACTTACCATCCACGAGTTCTTATTGCTTTGGTAAGTTCAGGTAAATTCCTAGCTACTTTCAAACATAGACATGTTCTGCTTTTGTCAAACACCAGTGATGTCTTCTTAATCACAGGGTCAATACAGCTTGTTAACAACACAGTAACCCATTCCTTCAGTTTCTTAAATCAGTTGCTTCTTCACTTTTAAATATTAACGTGAGTTTGGGTCATATCCTGTAATGCAGTCCAGTTTCATCTGTACTCATTCAGTAACCCAAGTAAAACGTCTTTTAGTCAGTTAGCAACCACATCTGCCACTTCCTTCTTATCATAAAATTTTTGACGAACAACGCACAATTTCTCTTTCTTCAACTTGTGATATCTGCCTGTTAATATAAACTTCTCTCCAAGCATTTAACGAATTAGTAAAAAAAAGCTTCAGAAAAAAGGTGCTTTTTTCAGTGAAAAAACATTACAACCATTCTAGAAAAGCTGTTTCAATGTCTCTCGATTTTTTTTTTTTTTTTTTTTGCTTCTTTGAGACATTTTGCATTTTTTTTTTATTAGCTCTTTACCAATTATAATTTGCTGTTTCAAAACATCTGGGATTATATGCAGTTGTAAATGTAGTCTCTTGCTGCTATCAACACGAGAATTTTAAATATTTTGGAATTTTAGCCTCTTCTTTCAGCTCTTTTTGCTTAGCATTTTCGACATGTTACAAGTTAAGCAAATAATAATTTAAGAAAAGGCTTCTTCCACTATTTCATTCAAATTTCAAATCTTACGTTTCTAGCCAGAAAAAAGTTGCCCTCAGTCTATTTAGTCAATTTGCCACTTCATTATCAAAAGCATTTTCTTCAGTCTACAGTTATCACTCCCTTTCCATTCAAAGACTGTTAATATATGGCAATGAAAAATTTAATGATCCTTTCAAATACCTCTTAGTGAACATAATGTGTCTATCCAAAAGGGAATATTTTGAATGTGGAAACCTTAAAATACGGAATACAGAAGTTGCACTTTCCCCTCTTATCAACTGAAGGAACTCTTGTTCATTCACAATACTTCTAAAGGTCTCTTGAAATCCAATATGGATAAAGGATTCTGAAAAGAGTGTCTAACAAGTACAAGGATAGGAAAATTTCAGTCATAGAATTTAAAATTTGATCAAACCCATTTTAATGAAATACTACATACCTGAAAGATAAGGCAGGGTCCAAAATATGTTAAACGAATGAACTAGGAAGTGCTTTGAGGGGCAAGAGTAAGATATTCTAGCACTGATAAACCCATCTTTTGCCAACTGCCTTTCTATAGATTAGTGACCCCCCCCCCTGAAATTTTGAACATAAAGTGGCTGAGTTGATTCACCAATGAGTTTAATAAGTGGTGAGCACTGTGTGTATATATATATATATATATATATATATTTCTATAGGAATATTTCTTGTGATTTGTCTGAAAATGTTTCAAACTCTTATTCTAAAATTAAAAAAAAGAAAAGAAAAAGAGTGGTGCAACATGTTGACTATAAAGAAAAGAGTAACTATGAGTTCAAATCCATGTTGTTCAAGAGAAAAAGCTGAAAAGTACATCACATAACTTCCTAGTATGAAATATTAAATTATATGCATTTTTGCCTGCATTTCAACTTATTTCCTCGAATTTTGTTAAAGATATATTTCTCATTCAATTAATTCAGTTCTCACTTCATGGCAAGGGAAAAATACATAAAAATTCAAAATATTTTCATTAAAAATTAAAAGATATCGAACAACATAAAACACCAACTACAGATAAAACAATTTAAGAAAAAAAAAAAAAAAAATTTTCACAATTCAAATTACAGTTTCTACACAAAAACAAGCAATTCGGACAGCAGGCAAGAAGGCAGATTTTTGGAGCACAATTCTAAAAGTTTCTTTTTGGTCCCACTCAGCCAAAAGACACTGAACGTGCAGAAAGAATTAATTCATGATTCCGCTAAATTTCAAATGTAAACAAATATGGCTGCTGTGGTAAAAAAAAAAAAAATTAGGCTTAGCAGCACTTAAAGAACTTTCAAATTGCTGAAAATTCTACAAATATTATATGCAGATTAACTTAAGGAATAAAAACCTTAACTGAAAGACAACAACATAATTGAATCATTTAAAGCAAAAAATGCCCAATTTACCAACATATACAGTGGTGGCCAAAATTGTGGACACTTTTGGAAATTTTTATGTTTTTGAAATTTGTATGCTTATAGAAGATGTTACGTTTCACAAAATGCAAACTTGCATATATCATTTTAAAGAGAATTTATTATTGAATTCAATACAAAACACAAAATTCAATTATTTGTAATACAAAAAAAGTTAAACGATAATAGTTATCGATACACATTAGATAGTGATGATTGCAGTGAGTTATCAATACTTAGTAGGGTACCCTTTATTTTTTATTACAGCTTCACATCGACATTTCATTGAGCTGACAAGAGTTTTAAGCTCTTCTTTCGTTATTACATGATGCCTTTTATATGATTTATACATTACAAACCACTTCATAACTATGTTTTTTATTTATATCAAAGTACATATAACTTTTTCTTGTATTTGCAAATAATTGAATTTTGTGTTTTGTATTGAATTCAGTAATAAATTCTCTTTAAAATAATATATACAAGTTTGCATTTTGCGAAACATAATATTTTCTATAAGCATACAAAGTTCAAAAACATAAAAATTTCCAAAAGTGTCCACAATTTTGGCCACCACTGTAAGAGTAAAAAAACTGAGCTCAATGAGCCGAGTAACAGAGTGGGTACATACATATTATATATATTTATACACTTTTGGTGTGGCTGATTGTAACCAAAAAAGGAAGTGCACAACTACATTTTATAGCAGTCTTACATACAAAATTTGAATGTTCTGAGATTATTCACTTTTGAGTTATGCGAGGTACTTACGTACAGACGCCACGAAAAAAATCTCTTCTGAATTCCTTTTTAATGACTTTTTATAATTTGTCTGGGGGAAAAAAATCTTTTATTCTGTCCTTAAGTACAGATATAACGGAAAAACATCATTAAATTGCATTCAATAGCAATCAAAGTGGATATTTTTGTTGAAATAGGGTACTCGGAATTTTTTATGATTACAGTACTTTCTTTACTTCATACAAGGAAGTAAAAATATACATTGTATCAAATTTACACATACCCACAGCAAGCATATCTATTATCGAGTTCATGTTATGATTTCAGTTATTACTAATTACACTTTGTTAGCAATTTTCTCACCTCCATATTTACTAGCGATACCAAAACATTGTATCTTTGCGAAAATTCAGAATCAGCATCTTGAATCCTGCCGAAAACTGAAGTCACACAAAGGAATGACTTTTAGGAATTCAATCTACAAAGGAAAAATAAAACTAAGTAACACTTCAAAAACATTTATACTTGAGCCACTTTAAAATATATAACAAGAAATGACAATGAAATTAATCTCATAAATACAATTCTTGCTAAATACACCAGTCAAAAATAGGTGTTTCAGATTGTGGAAAATGATTTTAAAATAATAATAATAATGCACAGTCCAGCAGCTCCCAATCATTTTGTATTTAATGAAAAGCACTAATCCCTCTCTCTTCCTCTCAGACAGCACTACTGCAATATATCTTACCACTGTATTATTTTAATACCATAAAAGTAACAGACCGCAATAAATAAGGTTAGAAAAATATAATGAAATAAGAGTGATTATTACATCATCTATTTCAAATAAATTTAGTGATAACATATGCAGAAAAAAAATGAATTCATGAATTTATTGGATATAATAAGACCTTAAACATTTTTTAATATTATTGCACCATAGCAAAATATTAAACATGCAATTAGAGTGAATTAATACATAAGTTTGTACATACTTAATTAAAACAAAACACTTGATTTTTGAATCAAGGCTTTATTACACTGGTGTTCTCATCAACATGTACAGGAAAAAAATTACTATTATTTATTATCAATTAGAATCGATTCAAGTCATCAGACATGTCCTTGTTTCTCCAGCAGCATCAAACTTTCAGCAACTGCAATGACCTTCAACTGCAAGACCTTCAGTCTTTAACACTTTTAGCAATAACTTATTTCGTAAGACACTTTCATTTCATTAATTGACAAGATCCTGCTACATTGACACAATGTTACTACAAAAAGTCAGTCAGATTGTTAGCCATATCTTGCACATGTGCAGATCCACTTCTTGCCAATGTCGAAATGCACTCAATTTCTCGATAAGACCATTACAAAAGACAAGTACCCAAATATGATTCTATGGCACTTGAATTAATATTTTTTTTTTTCCAAAATTGAAGAAAAAATACAATAGCTAATTTATATCTTTGTTCATAAAAACAAAAGGAGGCTTACACAGAATCAATTGGGTTTGCATCAAACAAATTAGTTTGAATGATGTTATAAGCATGTTGTGATGTGACACTTATCCATAACTGCCACTAAATCACATTGCTTGACAGTTTCTTGGTCAATGGGATAATATGTAAATGCCCAGCATTTTAGTGGTGCCATCTAAAAAATAAATAACTAAAAGATCTAGACTGCACACTTACTACATGATTACCCATTTTTGTTTGTAATTAGGTTGCTTGGTTTCTAAATGATGCAACAGTAATCAAGGTTTCATACTTCCTTAGTATTAGACAAAGAGGATTGCAGCAGTCTTTGTCTCTTGTGAATAAAAATCCAGATTACACATTCACCAAAATATTTTCTTCTCTTCTAAGAAAGATCACCCTTTCAGAATTATTTCGCAACTAGTCAGCCTACCTCATACCAGATCCAGCTGGTTGTTCGGAAATGCTTGGCACAGATGCAAAAATCAGAAGTTTTAGTTCTGTACGAAAATCTATTTTTAAGCACTTATCCATTTTTATTATATTTAATTTTAACAACTATAAAAGAACAAAAACTAAATGTAAAATAAACTGCAATATAACTATAAACAAAGACTGCTGTAAAAATCATTTGATGATTCCCTCAATGTTAAAAATATTATTAGCTATTAATAGTTTTATACAATTAGCTATGAGTAAGTGTGAAAAAAGTAGATACAAACTATAAGGAAGTAATCGAGCAACACAAATGACATGGCCGGGGATAGTTACAACTCATTACATTGCTTTCATAGACACTCTGGTTAGTGACAGTACCACTGAAATACCTCAAAATTACTTTCACATTTATTCAACAGCCAATTTCAAACTTTCTCAACATTTCTGTTATAAAACAGTATTTTTTATAATATATTATTATTTTTAACCATTACTGTTAATGCTTTTGCATACCTCACAGTTATGAACTACATGATGTGGATGATATAACTAAAAATGCTTAAAAACAATAAATCAGTTAAAAAAATAATATACAATATATTAGACTATGAGATGAGATGCTTGAAAATAATAAATAATATACTTCACACAAAGTTTACAAAAACCAAGGCCAAGTTGCTATGATAGATGCTTGTAAGAGCGTCTTACTATCACTTCATGGTAGCAAATAAATAGAAAAAGCCCCCTCCCCTCCCCCCCAAAAAAAGACTATTACAGAAACAAAATGGATCATCTGTGAAAACGATGGAGAGAACACAGTACTGACTATAAGAAACAGCTGAAAAAGTTTAGAAATGGCTAAACTAACGAATTCAGCCAAAAGAACAGGAAAGCAATTAAATTGCAAAACCTCCTTAATAAAGACCAGATAAATTTGGAAAACTTGGGAAATGAATTATTACGGTTTTCCTACTAATTAAATAAATATATTTAAAAATTCTATGCAATTTTTGCAAGAAACTAATATTAAAACTTATCTGACTATTCTAAAAAAGTAGGAAATAAAGATGAAGATAATGTCAAACAGTGCATAATACTATACACTAACTATATCAAACCAATATACTATTACATTCCTCAACATTATGAGGAATAAAAATCCATATTAACTTTCAATTTGTTCTTTATATATTTATTTATAAAATTCTTGTAAAATTATAAAATAAAAAACCAGTATTGCTAAAGGCTCGATAGCATTGCTTTATTGCATACCCTTTAAAAGTTTCTTACTTCTTCTGTTTCTTCCTCTTTAGCAATCGGTACGAATCTGTCGTTTGACTGTAGTGAACCCTCATATCAATTGCATGTTGTGCTAAACTGATTTGACCTACATCAGAAGATGGGAGAAATCATCTCAAAATTCTTGGATGACAATTTCTGCAGCACTCCCTTTTTTATCACTCAGTCATGCATTCACCGATAACTCTGATGTTAGACTCTCCGAAGACAGAGAGACAGAAGACTACTAGTTTATCAATGCAGATCACTCGAGTACATGCTGCAACCATTTCACATTTTCTAATGTCTTCCGTATTACCTACATTGGCAACATTCGCCAAGATGATGGTCTTCAGTAGGTCAACGAGTGTCAAAGCTACTAGTACCACTTTTGAACTGTTAGGCTGTGTTCAGACGGCTGTATAAAGGGCATAAGTGGTTAAAGCAGAGCTTTTTTTCAAATATATTGAAAAATATGGATGAAACTCGTAAAGCAAAAGTTAAGCTCAGGATCATGCACGCTCTGTATGATCCTGTAGATGATTGAACCCTTCCATTATTTTTCATTTTATCATGAAAATTCTTTAAAAAATGCAAGTTTGCAAAAATTTTATTTTTTCTGTGTAAATTATTATTATTACTTTCTTTCTGCTTATTATTTGTGTATAAATTATTACTATGATTTTCTTCCTGTTTAATTATTTTTGTGTTTAAGAATAAATTTATTGAAAAAGCTGGAAATATTGTATTACTATTTGCTTCAAATGCTGATTTTCTTTCCAAACAAACTTCATGAATTAATTTTACTAAAACATCAAACCAATATCAAAAATCTGTTTTTTTTTTCCAGTTAAAATATTACTTTAAAAAAATTAGTTTCACTTATTTAAGAATAGTCACAATAGTCAATTCAATGGTGTAAGTTTTGTATGAGGGCTATATTTTTTCAACCTCCGATGGGCTATAAAGAAAAGACAGGTGAATATACAAAAAAGATTTTATTACCAAAAGTAGTGTGCAATACAGGTTATTTCTCTACATAATCACCTTGATGATTGAGGCATTTGTCATATCTGTGAACAAGCTTTGCAATACCCTGTTCATAAAATATCCCCGCCAATGATTGGAAGTGAGTTGTGATGGTTTCTTTCAGCTCCATGTCATTTTGGAAGCGCTTCCCACCAAGCCACTGCTTCAGTTCAGGGAACAGATGAACGTTACTCGCCGCTAGGTCGGGACTATATGGTGGATGTTTGAAAATGTCCCATCGAAATTGCTGAGGGAGCCATTGGGTTACACGAGCGCTGTGAGGACGGGCATTGTCGTAGATCAGAAAAATTCCAGAAGTCAGCATGGCTCTTCGTTTCTTTTGAATAGCTCTTCGTAAGTGTCACAAAGTTTCACAATATCAATCTGCATTAATTGTTGTTCCAGGCTGCATAAACTCCACAAGCAACACATCTTTTTGGTCCCAAAAAACAGTTGCCATAACCTTACGGTTGTTAAAGGTTCGTTTGAATTTTGTGGGTCTCTTTGGAGAATTTGTGTGCATCCATAGTTGTGATTGTCGTTTCGTTTCGGGCGTGTCATATTGAACCCATGTCTCATCATCTGTCACAATAGATTTCAAAAACTCTTCTCCGTCAGTATTGTAACAGTCAAGAAACTCAAATGCTGCAACTATTCGGCGAGTTTTGTGGTCGTCAGTCAGCATCTGTGGGACCCAGCAAGCGCAAACTTTTCTGTAGCGCAACTGTTCAGTAACGATAGAGAGGGAAGATCTTGAAACTTCCAGAAATTTCATCAATAATTCACTTATGGTGAACCTTCGATTTTGCTTACCTGCTTGGTCAACTTGTTGAACAATGTCGTCTGTAGCGACAGACTTACGTCCTTGCCCCCCTTCATCATGCACATTAGTTTGGACATCCTTAAACTTTCGACACCATTCACAAACAACGCCATTACTCATAAAGCTGCTTCTATACACTCGACTCATTCTTCGATGAATTTCCGCTGCACTGTTCCCTTCTGCCTGCAAGAAACGAATAACAGCTCGCAATTTACACTTGGCGGGAGAATCAATAGTGACAGCCATGTTTACGTGACTGCAGCTCAACAGAAAATGGCGTGTTGAATACCCCAGTGAAAGAGCGTGTGGAGGGGAAGATGCGCAGTCGCCTACTATGCACACAAACCACCTGCCGCATACCTGGCCATCATACTGTGCAATCGGAGGTTGAAAAAAAAAAAACCTATGTATAAGTAATAAAAGATT